GGAGGTAGCTCATTACGGATATCACCGGTGGATATCGATTTTATGGCTTTCCAGAATTTTCTAGGGTTGTTCAGGTTCTTTGTGGTTACTGACAGATAATACTTAGATTTAGCACTTTTGACATGTGAAGTGAAGCTATTTCTTAGCTGCCTAAAACGCAGCCATTCTACCTCTGAGCCTGAATTCCTAGCCTTTGCCCAGGCCTTGTTTCTCTCATGTAGGAGAATAGATAATTCAGCAGAAAACCAAGGATTGTCTCGTCCCTTCACTCTAAATGTACGCAGGGGTGCATGTCTATCTATAATTTCCATAAAACCAAGATAAAAATAAGACCATGCGGTTTCTACATCAGCACACAGATCGATTTTTCCCCAATCAAACCCAAACAGATCATGTACAAAACCCTGCTCCACAAAATGTTTTATGTCTCTCTTGATGATAATACGAGGTTTAACCTTTTGGACCTTAGTGTCCCTAATTGTGGCTACAGCACAGTGGTCACTCAGATCATTCGCAAATACTCCCACAGATGAGTATTTATAGGGAACATTAGTTAAAATGAGATCAATTAGGGAGGATTTATTTGGGGACTTAATATTAGGGCGAGTAGGACTGTCAACAATCTGAGTAACATTTAAAGAGATACAAAGGTTTTTAACCCTTTGATACACAACATGGGTCAAAAGTGACCCGACAGGGTTTTAATTGTAAATATCTTTGCAATAAATTCATTTCACCATTCAGAATTCCAGGAATTCCTCAAGTAACTTGTTTTTGATCATCATAAATTCTTATTTTCATTTTTACTTTTTTAATAAAAATCATTTTTGTACGACTACCCCTCTAAAACACAACATGGGTCAAAAATGACCCGCATTCATTTCCTATGTTATTTCATGCATGGCTGTGTTTCTTTGTTATATCTTTTAAAATCTATGTATTTAACCATTTAATATTACAAAGTATTTCTTACATATCTTGTTTTTGATTATCATAAATCATTATTTTAATTTTCTCTGTCTACATTTTGGAACTAACATAGTTTTTATATTACTACATCAAATTTACACACATGGGTCGAAAATGACCCGCATTCATTTCCTATGTTATTTCATGCATGGCTGTGTTTCGTTGCTATATCTTTTAAAATCTATGTATTTAACCATTTAATATTACAAAGTATTTCTTACATATCTTGTTTTTGATTATCATAAATCATTATTTTAATTTTCTCTGTCTACATTTTGGAACTAACATAGTTTTTATATTACTACATCAAATTTACACACATGGGTCGAAAATGACCCGCATTCATTTCCTATGTTATTTCATGCATGGCTGTGTTTCGTTGCTATATCTTTTAAAATCTATGTATTTAACCATTTAATATTACAAAGTATTTCTTACATATCTTGTTTTTGATTATCATAAATCATTATTTTAATTTTCTCTGTCTACATTTTGGAACTAACATAGTTTTTATATTACTAAATCAAATTTACACACATGGGTCGAAAATGACCCGCATTCATTTCCTATGTTATTTCATGCATGGCTGTGTTTCGTTGCTATATCTTTTAAAATCTATTCATTTCATCATTTAATATTGCAAAGTATTCATTAAATATCTTGTTTTTGATGACCATAAATCATTTTTTTTTCATTTTCTCTGTCTATATTTTGGAACTACAATAGGTTTTGTATCACTACATCAAGTTTCCACACATGGGTCAGAAATGACCCGTGCAAGTGTGAATTTGATAGGAACCTTTGATTTATAAAATGTGTGCAGTTAGGAACATTTTTACTGTGGACAACTTTTCACTTGTCAGAATATGGCGCTGGTCAGAACTAAACAACTGGACAACATTTCACATTCCACTCTTGTCAAAAGGAAACAGGCTGCGTCTTCAGATCTGATTCATGTAAGTCTTGTTTTACAATTGTTTTACCTAAGATAACTGCACATAACATTTGAACATTATCCTTACCTGTTGGGAAAGAGAAATATGACATTAGCATATTCTATTCTAGCTAGCAATACATTAGCATATTCTATTCTAGCTAGCTAATGTTAGCTTGTGTTAGCTAGGTCAATTCTAGATCGCGGTCGCTAATATTAGCTAATGCATACATGCCAACTCTCTTGCCAGATCATCTATGAAATGTAATCATGTCTTACACAATAAATACGCTATACTATTTTCAACCCATTTGTCAATCTGGAAATACATACATAATAATAAATAAATACATTTAAATACAGTCATATAAAGGTATAAGCTAATGTCAGCTAGGGAAACAAAATAAAACTTGAATTAGAAAAGTGTACTGTATAATTTATCAACTGATGTTGTAAATATTATTTTGATTTTCTTCATCCACAGTATGGCTCGTCACACTCATTCACGTTTCACGGCTGAAATGATCATCGAGATGTTACATCAAGAACAGGATAAGGAAGATGGAGCAATCCTTGATTCTGACTCTGAGTCTGACCTCTCTGATGATGACGTAGACTATGTGCCACAGGGTCAAGCTGAAGTTGCTGGTGATGAAGAAGACTCCTTGGACGAGCTAGAAGACTCGTCTGATGAGTCCTCTGAAGAGGAAACTCAGACCCAGGCCAATAGGCTAAGTACAAAGGGGTCTTACTGGAATGAGAAACCCCCCACTCAAGGCAGAGCAAGAACCCATAACATCCTGAGGAGGTGTCCAGGACCCGTATCTGGTTCAACAATCATTTCACCAAAAGATGCCTGGGAGTTGTTCATTAGTGATAACATCATAGAGGAGGTTTTAAGATGCACTAACTTAGAGGGACGCAGAGCCGCAGCAGCAAAAGGAAAAGAGTGGAGATGCCTCGACAAAGTGGAATTCATGGCATTTATTGGTTTGACCCTCCTTGCAGGGGGGGACAAGAGCTAGGATGTGGCCTTGCGGGAGCTCTTTCTGGATCCCCTGCAAAATCTGATGTATAAGGCCACCATGGGGTTCCACAGATATGAGGATATCCGCCGCCTCATACGGTTTGATGATAAGAGGACTAGGGCTGTTAGACTGGAAACAGACCACATGGCTGCATTCAGATATGTGTGGGACTGTTTCCTGGCCAATTGCAAGAAAGTGTTCGTCCCCAGTGATTGTGTCACTATAGATGAGCAGCTTGTGCCATTCCGTGGAAGGTGCAAGTTCTTACAATACATGCCAAGCAAGCCAGCAAAATATGGGATCAAAATATTTTGGATGTGCGATGCAAGGGTCCATTATGCATTCAATGGCATGATCTATACAGGGCGACAGCCAGGAGAGGATGTTCAGAGGAACCTTGGCGAGAATATTGTCCAACAGTTGTCCAGCGGAATAAGACACACAGGTGAATATAGAATACAGAGTATACATTACATTACATTACATTGCATTTAGCTGACGCTTTTATCCAAAGCGACTTACAATAAGTACATTCGACCAGGAAGACACAACCTTGAAGAAAACAGAATCATAAAGTACATCAGGTTTCATAGAGCCAAACATTTCAAGTGCTACTCAACTGGCTTTAGGTAAGCCAGTCCTTTATTAGTATAAAAGTGCTTCGTTAATAGTTCTAACGCTCGAAGTGGAGTCGAAAGAGATGAGTTTTCAGTTTGCGCCGGAAGATGTGCAAGCTTTCTGCCGTCCTGATGTCAATGGGGAGCTCATTCCACCATCTTGGAGCCAGGACAGCAAACCCACGTGTTTCTGCTGATGGGAACTTGGGTCCCCCTCGCAGCGAGGGCGCAACGAGTCGTTTGGCTGATGCAGAGCGTAGTGCACGCGCTGGGGTGTACGGTTTAACCATGTCCTGGATGTAGGAAGGGCCAGATCCATTCGCAGCATGGTAAGCAAGTACCAGTGTCTTGAAGTGGATTACAGTGAATATACTCTTGAAGTTCTAGCACAATACCTAGATCACTTTTCCACTCTCTCATAGTGTCTATTTCATTTTGTATTACCATTGTGAGAAATTGATTAATTTATAAGCATAGAATGGAATAAAATACAATGCAGTACTCCATAATAATAATAATCAATATTCCATCAGGTTTATTTTAATGTTAGAATTTAGAGAATTACATGTTGACTAAATTGACCATTCATTTTTTTTGTTCTGTTCATAGGTCGCAACATAACCATGGATAACTTCTTTACCAGCATTTCTTTGGCTGAGAAGCTCCAGAGAAGAACCTTACGCTTGTGGGGACTCTTCGCCAGAACAAGCCAGACATACCACCTGTCATGAAGCCAAACAAACTGAGAGAGAAGTACAGCTCCAAATTTGGATTCTGTGGCAACATGACAATGGTGAGCTATGTCCCGAAAAAGGGGAAGGCTGTTGTGCTGCTAAGCACAATGCATGATGACACAGCAGTGGATGACCAGAGTGTTAAGAGGAAGCCAGAAGTGATCCAATATTGCAACCACACAAAATCAGGAGTGGACACAATGGATCAAATGGTTTGCACGTACACCTGCAAGCGGAGAACACGGAGGTGGCCCATGGTGCTCTGGCACAATGTGCTGGATGTTGCCACCCTCAACGCCTTCACCAGCTACACTGCACAACACCTTGGTTACATGGGTGGTGTGACTAATGCACGGCGGCTCTTCATAAAGGAGCTGGGCAATGAGCTGGTCATGCCACACATGAGGAAACGCATGGAGGGCACGTCCCACCTCCAAACCCATATTACAGAGGCAATGGAAAGATGTGGGTTAAAAAAAGTAAGCGCAGCCACCACCCAGCCACAGGAGGGCCAAGTGAAGAGGAAGAGGTGCAAGATCTGCCCAACTGCCAAAGATCGAAAAGCCAGCAGCTGGTGTTCCAAGTGCACCAGCCCTGTGTGCAAGGAGCACAAACATGTTGTTGTGATTTGTGAGGCATGTATGCACTAGATTGCAACTTACTCATATGAGCTCATTTCATGAGTTTGTTTCATGAGTTCATTTTAAACATTCAGCATTCACCACAGTTCACTGCAGTAACAATACAGATTCACTAACAGTTCAAAAAGTTCTAAATTAATTGTATCAGTTGTACGGTGTATGCTATGTGTGAGTGTGACAAAGTGACAAATAAACATTTCAAATATTAATTGTGTTATTCTTTGGTCCAAATCACTGCTAAAATGTTTTTTGACAAAATCATTATTATAGTATGTCTTTTTCTTTTTTAAATACCACACTTGCAGACATGGGTCATTTTCGACCCATGTCTGTAAACTTGATGTAATATTATAACAACTATTTTAGTTTAGTAATTAACAAAGGAGAAACAAAAGTAATGATTTAGGGTTTTCAAAAACAAGATATTTAATGAATATTTTGAATATTTAATGATGAAATAAGTTGATTTCCAAAAATATAGCAAAGAAACACTCAACCATGCATTAAATAACACTGTAAGTCAATACGGGTCATTTTTTACTCATGTTGTGTCTTAGAGGGGGTTTCCATAGCTTGTGTATCAAAGGGTTAAAATCCTCTGACACTGCAGTTAACCAGTCCCAGTTAAAATCTCCAAGTAGCACTATTTCCTTGTAGTCTAGTTGCGATAAAAGATTTGCTAGCGAAGACAAGGAGTCTTTGACAGCTGAGGGGGGTCTGTAACAGCCCACGACCATGACCTGTTGACCCTTTGCCACTTCTATATTTAAGGCTAAAAATTCAAATTGCTTACTGATCGATTTGGAAACTAATGTGGTTACACTGAACTTATTCTTAACATAAATGGCAACGCCACCACCTTTATTAGGCCGGTCGGTACGATACACATTAAAACCATTTAAGGCAATGTCAGAGGCCAAAATAGATTTATTTAGCCATGTTTCTGATAAAACAATGACGTCAGCGTCAGTCGAGCTCGCCCAGATACGGACAAAATCTAGTTTACCTAACAGACTGCGCACATTCAAGTGGATGAAACCCAACCCAGATCTAGCTTTAAAATCAGCAGGAGTAGCGATCTGACTACTACTACTGGGCGGACCAGGGTTAGGTTGTACATTTCCTGACTGTAATAACAACAACAAAACCAGGCATCTTTTCCTCTTAAGCGACACACATACATCATCTACTTTAGAATCACCGGAAAAGTCTGCGAGAGTGTGATTAGAGCTTAAGAAGCAGTCCTGAAGAACCATCATCGCAGGAAAACAAAAAAGACAAACATATTTTGTTGAGCAGATTGACTGTGACAAGGCAACCGGTAATTGTTTGAGCAACACATCCGAACCTTTGCAGGGGATGCCCACTGCGGGTGGCAGAACAGACCTGAATCCAGTAGACTCCTCAGAATGACTAGAGATCTTCTCATAGTCCAAAATAGTTAACAGACACAGCAGAATCCCGATATGGGCCATTTTCCCAGACCAGGGAACCGCGATGTTCCTGGAGCAAAATCAGCACAGCAGCAAAGGACAGGCGAAAGCAGCAGCGTGGTATCCCCGGGGTGATTGATTGATTGATTGATTGATTGATTGATTGAAAAGTTTATTAACAGCTTGTATATTGGGTACAGTACAGTACAGCTCAAAACATACAATTGTTAAGGGGATGCAGACCAGAGAAAGACTTTCGTCTTGTTTACATCAGGGTCCCCCATTTCCAATTCATCATATCATTTAAGACATATAAGACATATTTGACATACAGATGGCTTATTTACAATTTACATACAGGTGTTTTTTTTTACATACAGATTGCTTGTTTACAATTTTCATTTTAGATTTCGTTCTAATACATCCTAACCGGACATTTAAAACATACCAAGTCTACAGATATACAGTTAGTAACAGAGTCTAAAATGCGAGTATTGTGGTGACCACCTATTAATACACTGGGACATAATTCATACATGGAACTACAGTTGGGGCTATTGTTTCCACACGGACATATATGTGTTGTTATCTATATATGTTGTGTGCCCTCCTGGCTCTTTCTCTTGTCGTCCGGGCTGCGACCCAACAACATCTACATTTCTGCTTCTCATTAAAGCAAGCTTTGTACCTTCATTGCACCGCCTCCGACTCCCTATCTCTCGGCACTACATTGGTGACCCCGACAGCGTCTTGGGAAGTTTCGAGATGGACCCGAACACGGCAAAGGAAACCTAGGTTTCTTTCTCGAAATGCCGGGGATTTTTTGGAGTCGACCGTAGCTGCTACAGGCACGCGGACTGAGGCTCGGTGCGCGCCTCGTGGAATGGCTGAGGATGTTGCTCGCCATTCCCGCATCTGCCTTCCGACTACAGAGGGGACGATGCACGACCTGCTGGGTAGGGATGAACCCGATTGCTGCCTCGTGGGGTTTCTTCGGGGCGTGCGGCTGCACGTCCCAGCTGCGCTAGCTAACGACAACTAGCAGCTAACCACGTTGGCTAACTACGGCTAGCTACCGATGGCTGCCAGCTAACGGCAACAGCTAACGGCTATCTACCCTTTTGAGTTTTTTTTTTTTTTCTGGTGCCGGAGAGGAGGTTCGACCAGCCGGTTGACCTCATGTGGACACTCTCACATTTTTCACCACCTCCACGGCGGTTCCAGACGCCACTGACGTTTTCATCGACGCCTGGGTGGTGCACTCCTGGACCCCGTCTCGCCTCGACGGTTTTGGACGTCGCCCATGCTGCCATCGGCCCGTGGGTGGCGCGCTCCGGAGCCTGTCTGGCCTCTCCTGCCTTCCGGGGATATCCAGATGCCACTCACGTTCATCGGCGCCTGGGTGGCGCACTCCTGGACCCCCTCTCGCCTCGACAGTTCCGGACGTCGCCCATGCTCCATCGGCCCATGGGTGGCGTGCTCCGGGACCCTGTCTGGCCTCTCCTGCTTCCCGGGGATGCCTCGACATCTGCTGAGGACTTCATGCCCGCCGCCGCGGCACGTCTGCCTGCGGCCGGGTTGCTCTCCTGCTTCCCGGGGATGCCTCGACGCCTGCCGAGGACTTCGTGCCCGCCGCCGTTGCACATCTGCCTGCGGCCGGGTTGCGCTCCTTCTTCCCGGGGGGACTGCTCCTCTCTTCCGGGGATACCTCGACGCCTGCCGAGGGCTTCGTGCTCACCGCCGTTGTGCGTCTGCCTGCGGCCGGGTTGCGCTCTTTCCTGCTGGGTTCTCCGCGACACCTACTGCGGCCCCCGGTGTGGGTGCCCTCGCCCTCGTTAGGGCCCCTGCCCTCTCCTGCGGCCCCCTTTCGTGGCCCGTTCCATGGCCCGGTCCTCACCTGCGGGCCCCACCCTCCTCGGCCCCTGTGGTGCTTCCTCCACGGACGCGATGATTTTTTTTGCCATGTTTGAATTCTGGGGGGGCTTGTGTGGTGACCACCTATTAATACACTGGGACATAATTCATACATGGAACTACAGTTGGGGCTATTGTTTCCACACGGACATATATGTGTTGTTATCTATATATGTTGTGTGC